TTGTCTGACCCCTCTCCATATGAACTTCCTCAACCTATATGTTGCAAATATCCAATATATTCCATCAATGTCATAACATACGCCCCAATTCATGTTTTTACTAAATAACTGCTTTGTCGATATGTCCGCTCTTTACCCCACTTATCAACAACTACGAATTCCCCTTGCATTCTTTCCAACCTTAGCTATGTTTATGACGTCCATATATATTCTCAGCACAGTCTGGCTTCTGCACGGTAATCAGTTAAAATCTGTGTACTATCCGACTGGGATCACAATAAACTAAAAATAACTAATATTATTTTCTTAATGAGCTGGCATTAGACCCAAAGTCCTTAATATTCCTGTTTAACTATGCTTTTTTTACTATCTTTATTTAGTAGACAATCGTGCGATTATAGCTACGACATATTCAACGTAGCAATTGAATAGCATTGTTGAAAATTAACAATTTCAAGATTATATCATCCATTTGATGTCATTGTAGTTTAAACATAGAACAAGTTTATGTATCATCCAATCATTAGTCGCGCGATTGTTCGCCGTAAACATATAAATGAGAGAAGTGTCAGCAATAATCCTCCAAGTTTCTAAAATACAACCGCTCAATCCTGAATATAACGATAGTTATGTAATCGAAGACCAAGAAGGCGAAACTAGAATACAGTCAACATTAATACAGAAGTCATGCTCCTGAAAGATTCTGAACGCGATACAGATATAAGACTCTGTTCTTTGGGATGTTATGGACCACCTATTTCTCTTTTCCATCCCATTTTCAATGATTTCTTGATTACTAGTCACTGGACATTGGGATTGACTTAGAGTATTGCCAGAGCTACTTATAATTTTTGTGATCGATGGCAGATTCCTAATGACAAGCTGAGTTATTCTTCACAAAGCCAGACCTGTACTTGAAAATGGTGCTAGAAGTTATGGAGCAACTCCAGCCCCAATAATTTGGGAAATAGGCACAGAAACCCATTCAACCGATGTAAAGCTTATTATTATATCTTGTTTGCTGGAACAGATGTTATTCACTAAGAAGAATCATGTTTAATATAACAGAGCGATACAAGTGAGGGAAGTCTATACTGAGATAATAGCCGTCCAGCCCCAAAGCCGGGATATATCCGAGGGTTCAAATGAGTAGTAGAAAAGATTCCTGACAATTCAACAAACTGTAAATATATTGATAACATTGTTTCTTAAAACATTTTGTGATAATAGCGATAGTGCTTATTTTAGTCGTGTAATACAAATCACAGGTTTGCAGCTGTGTTACTATAACAGTCACATGTTATAGAAACATTTAGAAGGATAAAAATTTTGCGGTAATAGAAGAGGCACGTTCTTTTCCCACAACATGGACCTACTCGAGTACGCGAAGAATCATCCCAAAAGTACCTCGAGACAAAACAGGGTAAGCAACGAGTGTTTATTGGTAAAAGAGACATAGTATAAAAAATCAGTAATTGAGCCACTCACTGATTTCACACTTTGATTGAAGCAGAGCGAAAACACAGTAGATTTTTCAAAGCTCTGTCTTTCTTTCAAGAAACTGAACAAATACCGTGAGGAACTGGATAAACTTGATGAGAATGAGACTCAACTGTGCAGTCGCGAATGGGTACATGTGAACTGCTTCCCACGCATCGGATACAGTACCTTCATACATCAAACATAACGTCCAGGTCTTTCCACACTTTGTCGGCGACGTTGGGCTAGAGAAAAATAAGCCGCCGATAACAATGCACTACGATGTAAACGGTGACGTAACGGTGTCACGAAAACCAATCCGACAATAATAAACACAGGAGCATCGATGATCTACAAAAAAGTGACCTGGCAACGATATAGCATGGCTGAAATTGCAACAACGTATATTGAGGACAATGGCTTTAGACGATTATATGGGTTGCATAGTATTTATCCAATGTAAAAACCATGCAAAAAATATCGGTAAGATTTATTATATATATACAAAATACTGATAAATTATGAAATTCTAAATATCATTATTATTAATAAGGTCGGACTCCAGTACAGGCATTAGGTGGGTTACTTTCTAGACGATCTAAATATCACCTTTGCATTGCAAGTATCGTTGTGGTCTCCAGAAATGATGATAAGGAGGAAAGATTTGATAGAAGCGCAAGGGAGGAAGCGGATACATGCCCTAATCCAATGAATGAAACTATCATACGAAAGACGATTAGTTGAGGATATTAAAGAATTAGTGTCTAAGGCTTGGATTATGAAGGAGAGTACTGGTGCACTTGTTGAAGTTCGTAAGGCTCAAAAGCAAAGAATGGAAGCTGTTGAGCTTCAACTACGTATAGATGCTTTGTCTTTTCGTAACAACAAAATGCGACTATTTGTCACATTTATATTGTTATTTTATTGTTATCGTAGTCGCTATAGTCAATTCGTATAATGTCTTTGTTGTATGTTGTATATTATTTTTTTATTGCATCAAAAATAAAATTTAAACAATTTGCTCTACAGCTCGATGTGCTTGTCATAAAGCTATGCTTAAATGTAACTGTCATTCTCATAACACACGATGCTGCAATACTAATTGAATAGTAAATAAATTTTCTGCAATATCGTTATTTAAATTGTCATTGTTTGAGGAAATGTATCGCATAATTATAATGAATAAATATTATTAGTTTGGTGATTTCCGCTATAAAATTAATTCTTCCCGATTAGTAAATAGAATTCTGTTATATTAATACCATCAATCGAATGGTTGCTAGTAATTATACAAACAATCACTGACAACCCACTATCGAATTAGAGTCATTACTTCAAGTCTCATTAGAAGTTTGAATCAAGCGACTCTTATAACACACACAACTAATAACTCGTCTGTAAGAACACAATACTTTTAATTAACAACATTAGTACACATATGTAGTTGACATTGCTTAATAATATTTTTATCTAACTATAACTTACATATTATCTCAAACTGACATATTAATATGTCGATTCCAAATGGACATACAACTGTTACGGTCGGATGGTCTGGGGTTTGGGAGAGCAATTAATCTTTCGCGTAGGGGTGTTCTTCCGACCGGGGGATGTTACCAGA